ACTCTCTTCTCCCCTCCCCCTCCCCACTCTCATTCCCCCTCACTCCCCCGTCAATTCCCCTCCCTTTCAATTTATTTCTCCCTCCCTCCCTGTCAATTTATTCCTCCCCCCATCCCTGTCAATTTCTTCCTCCCCCCATCCATGTCAATTTCTTTCTCCCACCCCATCCCTGTCAATTTCTTTCTCCCACTCCCTGTCAATTTCTTCCTCCCCCGTCAATATCTTCCTCCCCCTTCAATTTCTTCCTCCCCTTCCCTCCCCCCTGTCAATTTCTTCCTCCCCTTCACTCCTTCCCTCCCTCCCTCCCCTGTCAATTTTTCTGCCCCCCTTCACCTCCCCCGTCAATTTATCCCCCCACCCTCCCCTACTTCTGTTGTAGCGTGGCCGAGCCCTGTATGGTCCGTGGGTACAGGGAGCTTTTGTTTCCTGTACCCGGCCGGACTAAAAGGAAGTGCACACTCAGTACAGGAGACAGATGCTCCCTGTACCTGCGGACCATACAGTGCTCGGCCACGCTACAGTGAGGGAGTAACAGGAGGTAGCGCTGAGCGCTTCCCTCCTGTCAGCCCCTCTCCTCATGCTGCGCCCGGGGCGGTGCGCCCTCCTGGACGCACCAGCCCGGGCAAAGCTGCAGCCGCCTGAGGCTCTCTGCAGAGTGCTCAGGCGGCTGCAGCATGAGGGGGGCCGGCAGAGCTGGGTGGGATTACTCCATAACCTGTCCCCACCGCATGATTTGCTGGGGGAGATGTGTCACCCCCAACCCCCCCGGTTCCTGCGCCCATGAGCACATGTAAAACAACCATAACAACATACATACAAAGTCTATACAATAAAGTGAGCAGGGCTTTCTCACACTGGGGTTGTTTCTGACACGTGTCCAGCTCTGATTGGCTTAATGGAAGTTATTATCAGTATTGTCCTTCTGATTTAGTCTTGGTCAGATTTTTGGAAATATTTTGTACACTGTCATAACGGTTAGCTGCTGTCTCTTTAAATGATTAATAATACAGATTAAGGAACAGCTCACATATAAAAATACAGTTTTCAATTTTAGAAAGTCACCTAAATTACCAAACAAATATGGGGATTCAGTTCCACCATACGGCCATATTGTGTTACACCCACCACTACGTCACAGTATTTTAATATCGGTGGGTCCTACACTAATATATAAATATAATGCTAAATTAATGGGATAAAAAAAAACAATTCAAAAAAATACAGTTTCAAAACTAAACCATTAAAGTGATATTGCATTGATGTATATACGCACAATACATTTCATATATCGGCTCTATAATGAAAATTAGAATTAAAGTTACATTACCATCCAAAACTTTCTCACATTCATACTTTGCGGTGGTCACCTTCAAATTAGCATCTGAAGCTGGGGGGCTGTTCAACCCAAAAGCAGGCTGGTCTGGTTTTTAATTTATTTCCCACGTTGGAGTTCGTGACGGACCCACCGATATTGGGGTACTGTGACGTAGTGGTGGGCGTAACACAATATGGCCGTATGGTGGAACTGAATCCCCATATTTGTTTGCTGAGATAGGTGATATTAAGTCGCCTTGTAAAATGTAAAGCCGGATTATTGTTGTATGTGCTGTTCCTTAATGGGTATTGTGTGTACAGTTTCCATTCCTGAGAAATGCATCTTCCGAGTGTGCCCCCAATTCCCCTTTTGTCTTTAAATAATAAAAACGAACTTTTGCACATGACAATTTATGTGTGTTGTGCATCCTTCTGCTTTCTGATATTTCTATTTAGAGCACTTAAAGGGACACTATAGTCACCAGAACTACATCTTATTGAATTTGTGCTGGTGAGTATAATCAGTCCCTTAATATTTTTTGCAGTAAAGATTTTTTTTCAGAGAAAATGCAGTGTTTACATTACAGCCTAGTGATAACTTCACTGGCCACTCCTCAGATGGCTGTTAGAGATCCTTCCTGGGTCATGGCTGCCTAAAATGCATCCAAACATTCAGTATCTCCTCCCTCTGCATGCAGACACTGAACTTTCCGCATAGATTCACTGATTCAAGTGTATCACACTTATCTCATTACCAGCTTTATAACCAGATGTTCTGACTCTGATTTTCCATTAGCGGAGTCTCGCACTCGGTTTCACTAATTATATACTAACCTGCCAAGTGTTGAATTGTAAAGTGTGAATTATGCGAGTTAGCCTGGGCTTCCTCTAGCGGACGCACGAGCTGGGTAAATGAAACAATTGTTTGTTTCACACCTATTGCTACGATTACATATTCTTACAGTCACGGTTACGCATTGAGATGGTATTGTCTTGTCTCCTATTTAGACTTACCGTTACAATGTGTCAGGACACATTACAGATCACATAAGATGGCTTTGAATAGACACAACATGCGGATCTTTCACTATGATGACTGTGACCACAAATGGGAAAGCTAAGGTGAGTTTGAACTTGTGATAGTCATCTTGGTCCCACTCCCACATCGCTCTCAGTCACGCCAGCCCAGCGCTGTCCATCCTTTATACAAATTCAGAGAAACAGTAATGTTTACATTTAGCTGAGAACATACCCGTGTGGTTCTCAGACAAACCAGCGTTGGAGCAGTTTCGTCCTTCAGGCCTTTAATGGTCAATGATTTTTACATATGATGTCATCGCGCGAATGTCACCAAACGTGTTATGAGAAGCATCGGATTACACCAGAGATCATCATAACAGAAGATCTCAGAGGAGAAAACGTCAATGCTGAATTACAGGCAGGTTTAATGGAGGTGAGTTTTTCCCACTTTTCTTTTTCATAATTTAGTGACCCTAATTCTGCGCAAACACAAAAACGCTCGTCTAAAAAATACACTTACTGTAAACATTTGAGTGTTCCTTTAATAACTCTGTACTTGGCACTGTACTATGGGAATACCTACAGTAATTATTTATCTGGTTCGTGTATTATTCACTATGCACTTTTAATAATTGCTCATTCTGACAAATATTTTGGTTGTCAATATATTTATATTTTACTTTATAACAGGCAAAAGCTACACACAGGGATATGAGGCTCTCAGGGACAGACAGACCATGACGATACCACGAATGTGATCATAATGAAGTCCTACCAAATCCATCTGTATTTCCAGGAAAAATCACGGCTTTTCATGGAAATACAACCCAGACCCCTCAAGATCCATGTATTTTTAATGTAAATGAAACTGGATCCTGAGCCGTATTAATATTATTTCCGTGGTAGTCTGGGGTAAGAGTTGTAAAATGTGATGAAGACTCCCTGTGACCTCTACACCTTTCATCTCACTCACTACAGTCATTTTGAGAATAAATATTTGCAGAGTGTGAGTGACTGCCATTCAGTGTTATGTCTCCATCTAGTGGCCATTATAGCAACTTGCAGTCTATTATAGACATAAAAGTCACATCTCGGTAACAATTTATGAAAGGGACTGTAACATCTGTTTTATACATTTAATATGTGTACACAGTCCGCTAGGTGATCATAGTGGGTGTTAACGTAAAGATTCTATTTACCTAACAAAGGGTTATTTACAAAAGTGAGAATTGTTGGAAATTCAAAAACACATTTCAAATGTAAGGCTGAAGTAGCTGCACTGGAACATGGAGTTCAAATTTATCCATTTCAGCCGTTTTGAACTGAAATATAAACTTAATTTTGAATTGAAATTCCCAATTCTCACCCTGAATATTAAGCTAGATTTCTTTTATGGTTTTAAATTTTCTTTTTCTTTTTAAATTCTACAAATTGCTGGATGTTTGGTCCTTTGCAAGGTCACACTAGGACAGCCATGATTTTTATTTTTTAATATTTTAATAACTGCTAATGAAACCTCTATTCAGCATCGGACCCAATTTCCTACCTGTAGCCTCTCCCTTCATTTTATGACACATTCTCAGCCGGCATTCTCCATTCATAAATCAGATTCAACTTCCTGCCAACACCTCCCCTATTCTAGAATCTGCTTACCTGTCTGAACATCCCACTTCATAATTGGACACAATTCCCTGCCGGCACCCTTTCCTTTCATCTTTGGATCCATTCCTTTCTTCATCTATCCGGAGTCCCTGATGACACTTTCAGGGAAGGACTAACTACTTTTGGCCTAAGGTCAGGTACAAAATGTGCATGAATGGTCCTATTCACACAGAACAGGACTGGCGGAATTAGCCATGCACAAACCCAGACAGTGCTGCACTGAAATATTCCTATGCGCTGCTTCAGTCTTTCTCTACTCTGCCATCGGCATTCCACTGTATCTCCTAATATCTTATTCCACAGAAGAATGGCACAAAGCTGAAGTCCCTGGATACTGGGAACCAAGGGGGGGAGAGGGATAATTGCACACCTGCCCCTATGGTATCCCTCCAATGTCTTTTCCCTTCATCACTGGACCTAAATCTCTGCCTGCACCCACTACATTTTATTACTCGCTTCCCTGTCAGCACACACTACACTCATATTACCTGCTAATATATAATAATGGAAGAATAGATTCTGATCAAATGCAAAATCATTGTGAACTAGAATTGTGCAAGATTAGTTATTCTTAATTAGTTCAAATAAGATGACTACTAATCAATACGAATCTTCAAAACGTACCAGGGACTTCATTCGAGCGAACCGGCCGAAACAAAGTTTTGCACAAGCCCATTGTGAACTAAACAGTGGCATAGATACAGCACAAACCTGTTTTCCACAACTCCTAAGCTGAGAGGCGAAGCCTTTTGATTGAAAGTCTGGTTATCACATAAATAGTGATCGCTTTTTTTATGCACCCTGTTTATTAGGCGTGAATTGTCTAGGTCAAAGGGTTGAGTAAAATTCACGAAATAATCTGTTGCAAACTAAAAACCATATATCAAAATTTAGGTAAAAAATTGGATCTGATAAAATTCTAACTCTGTCACAGCCAGAGTTAAGTAAATGTGCCCTAATATCCCTTACATATTTCATACCTTGAATAAAAAAAAAGTAAACGGTTTAAAATACTATACAGAATTTATTGGAAATATGCATCAAAGACGTAACTGATTATACATATTCTTTGCCATTGCTTAACTTTGGCCCTACCATATCTTTACCAAAGAAAGTTAATAAAATATATCTGATAACCCTACGTATGGATTTGTAAACCCACTACAATAATGACAAGAAGGAAAAAAAACAACAAAAAAAACATGTATATCACAATCACACTTTGATATTCAAGATCAGAGTAAGAGAAAATGATCATAAAAGATAGAAAACAATACATAAATCACGAGTGATGCAATGGCTTCTGGGGGAGGGAAACACAAACAAAACATTTAATTAAAAAAAACAAAATTAACATAGCAAAAAAAAAGAATCAGGCACACACACTGGATGTTAAGAAGAATTGTAATTTATATGGAGTAGACATGGCCATAATCTTTCTTTAGTTGTTGAACTTAAACTCCCATGATCCTGAGAGACGATCGATTTGGCCAAGCAGTGTGGTAGTTTTGGTTTAATTAACAGTTAATGTATAGTAATCCATATGAAAAAAAAGGAAACCTATTAGGGGGACGTCCCCATATCCCAAACAGTGTGGACCACCACAAAAAGTGACACATGGGTCTTAAAAGGAAAATGGGTCCCAATTTGCTTTTGTTATCAAGATATGTAATGGGGAAAAAAAAAGAGAAGACAGATATATGCATACTTGGAGAAAGATTGGTGGGCTAAAAGGTGAACTAAAAATAAAATATATATATATATATATGTAAAACTAAACCTATGTGATGCGGTCTATATGCCCTAATCTGCATTACTGGTCGCTGTAGCCCCTTATAGGTTTATACATCTGTCTGAGCCTACACCGAGTTTGGTGGTTAAACAGGAGGGTTTGGTCTGCTCAACAACTGGTGGAGAATTCAATAGTTCATTGAATGTGGCAACGAGAGACACTACGAAACACCGATCTGTAGAACTAAAGTAGGTGAGGATGTTAAGGATGTGCAGGGACCTCTTTGTGCAAAGTAGATTTATATGAGCAGTCCTGAGATCCAGGTTCATTGTGGGTAAAAGGTTTTACCTACACATCCGTTTACCTGAATAGCTGACAAAAAAAAACAAAAAAAGGGAAAGTCTCTATAATGTTCTAGGAGAATACAAGTGTGTTATGACCTCCATTTCTGGCTTTATTAAGTATTACTTTACATTTCGAAAAAACATAACAAGGTGCAGAAGAGAATGATTCAGAATGACCAAAGGCCATTCCCGGTTTCTCCCAGTGGTGGAGTTGTGTGAGCTGTACTCATCTCCTAACTCAGCACCTACTCGGGATTCTGGTCATGAAAACGTGCTTTGCGAACAAACTGGTTATTCTTGAAAAGTGTTGGAGCTGATGTTGGGGTAGATCAGAAGGTGGGGTAACAAAAAGCTTGAGTTTATTAGTTCCAAGACTCCATGCTAAAGCATGGTCATTGAGCTCAATCCTCCTCCTACCCCACCATACAAGCTGGAGATGGATTGGAGTTAATCCTTATAAAGTTGAGTTGTTATTTCTTATCCCCTTTGATTATGATTTATTGAAGGCTGAAAGCACAGCCCATATCATTTCTGAGGCATTGGCCTTGTTTCCTTCGACATCTGGGTCCAGGTCCAATAGATCTCTGGATCTGTTCATGGCCATATCATACTTATCATCTGGCAGGGTTGAGAAAGCATTCTCCAAAACATCAGAAGAATGAGCCAGCACCAACAAAGCCAATGTCCGTTTGTCCATGCGATGAGGGTCATTGACCCACTTGTCCAGAAGGGATTCTTGAAGTTTCTTCACCAGGCGTTGCTTCTCGGTAGTGTTGGTGACTGGGTGCGTGGTCATGTCAAACAGCAGAAAATTCTGTTTCTCGGTGGTAAGTATTCCCTTTTCCACCAAGTTCTTGGCAATACGTTCTCGGACGTTACGAAGCTGGTACTGCAGTTTGAATGGGTTCCAGGTCTCACCTGGAGAGACACAAAAAGACAGAAAATTTACAGCAAATGTTGACATTTGTAAGATATGAGTAATATACACTTTAAAAGTATCTGAATAACAGACTATCAAACTACCACATATTGTGCTATAAGGCAGCCACTCTGGCACTGGCACAGGAAACAAGGAATTTTCCTCTCATTTGCCGTGTCAATTACATGCAACTTGTGAACGTAGACACTGCACATATAAAGATCTCCTCTCCTCCCGGGAGAGGTAAGTTGTGACAGGAATATCCAGTGATCGCTGCTCACACACGAGGTCTAGCGTTAAAGGACCACTATAGTGCCAGGAAAACATACTCGTTTTCCTGGCACTATAGTGCCCTGAGGGTGCCCCCACCTTCAGGGTCCCCCTCCCGCCCGGCTCTGGAAGAGGGAAAGGGTTAAAAAAAACTTACTTTTTTCCAGCGCTGGGCGGGGAGCTCTCTGCCTCCTCTCCTCCTCTGTTACGACCCGCCGGCTGAATGCGCACGCGCGGCAAGAGCTGCGCGCGCATTCAGCCGGTCTCATAGGAAAGCATTCATAATGCTTTCCTATGGACGCTGGCGTGCTCTCACTGTGAAAAGCACAGTGAGAAGCACGCAAGCGCCTCTAGTGGCTGTCAATGAGACAGCCACTAGAGGAAATAGGGGGAAGGCTTAACCCATTAATAAACATAGCAGTTTCTCTGAAACTGCTATGTTTATTAAAAAATGGGTTAACCCTAGAAGGACCTGGCACCCAGACCACTTCATTAAGCTGAAGTGGTCTGGGTGCCTAGAGTGGTCCTTTAAGAGTGCACACAGATAGCAGATGCAGTATGGCGGGCTATACCACTATAGTACTAATTCACTCATTCTATGGGAAGAATGGAACTATGACTGGGGACAAACTGCTACACAGCATTATTTATTACCACTATCTATAATCGTTAAATACATTATAATCATACACCATGCTTGCTCATCAAGACCAGCACTATAGTCACAATACTATTTGGGGTGCACTGGACACTACTCAATTCTGAATTATATTAGCTTTCTGCCTGAACACACTGGAGAGACACCCACAGCAAGAACCGCGTGAAGATTCAAACTCTGAGCAAGTTCTACCAATGAAAACAATTGCATGCAGGGGATAATCACACAAAATACAATACTATATAATGAAACGTCTGTAAGCTGATCACTGTGTGCCGATATGTAACGGATATTCTTGCAAGCTACAGATCAGAGAGGAATGGTTAGCTTATATGAGTACAGTCATTTTTATACAAAGTTGATAGTGAGTAGGGTGATGTTAACCCAGTAATGTTTGCTGTGCACATGCTGTCGTGTAGATAGTTGACCGTGTCTTGGATTTATCCCCTTACCAGTCAGTAACTCGATCCAGCTCTGCACTGTTTCGGCAGGGTCTGTGGCCTTCATGTGCTTCAGGGTTTCATCCAATAAAATGTCTCCGGTTGGTGCATCAGATTTCAGCAGTACCTGTGGGATTAACGGATAGATTTGTAAAGACATCTACCATAACACGACACCCAAACCACTGCTTCCCTCTTTAATCTTCTGTGGACACAAAAATACACAACATGTGCTCAGTCTTGATTCATTGAACACTGAATTACAGTGAATCGAAAACCAAAGTGTGAAGATTAGATAAAAAAGGCCAAGCTGCAATTATAGAAGTGTTGGAGAATTGATCCCTAAATGTTGCCACAGATTCCACGCCCCTGCTACAATTACCTTCTAAATCAGTCTGCAGCCAGACGGGATGCTTTGTCTGAACAGTTTATTCACCAAACTCACAACAGCAGGACAATACCAAAAAATAACAGTCTCCCATTGATCTCTCGTGAAGCTTTCACTGGAGTGAGGTGAGCATAGGGGGCACGTATAAGGAATCTTATGCTTTTTCAGCATTTCTAGATCAACCATCGCTACATTCATTTTCACTTTAAAAAAATGCAGGACATATTGTTCCCACGATTCACTGTGCACGCTTGTTCACGGACATTGTTCCCACGATTCACGGTGCACGCGTGTTCACGGACATTGTTCCCACGATTCACGGTGCACGCGTGTTCACGGACATTGTTCCCACGATTCACTGTGCACCCATCGGAGTGTTTCTTTAAGGCAAACTGAACTGAAATTAAAATAATATATATATTTTGTTGTAGTAAAATTGGGCACTCCTTGATCACCCTAAGCTACATAATACGTAAATCATGTCTGTGTTTATTAAAGGACCACGATAGTGCCAGGAAAACATACTCATTTTCCTAGCACTATAGTGCCCTGAGGGTGCCTCCACTCTCAGGGTCCCACTCCCACCGGGCTGGATGGAGAGGAATGGGTTAAACACTTACCTTTCTCCAGCGCCGGGCTCCCTCGGTGCTGGGGACTCTCTTCCTCCTTTCCCAGTCATCGGCTGAATGCACATGCGCGCAGCCAGTCCATAGGAAAGCATTCACAATGCTTTCCTATGGACGGCAGCGTCTTCTCACTATGAAAATCACAGTGAGAAGCGTGGAAGCGCCTCTAGTGGCTGTCAATGAGACAGCCACTAGAGGCTGGATTAACCCATAGGTAAACATAGCAGTTTCTCTGAAAACTGCTATGTTTACAGCAGGCAGGGTTAACCCTAGATAGACCTGGCAACCAGACCACTTCATTAACCCCTTAAGGACACATGACATGTGTGACATGTCAGGTTTCCTTTTTATTCCAGAAGCTTAAGGGGTTAAGCTAAAGTGGTCTGGGTGCCTATAGTGTTCCTTTAAGCACAGCTGAAATAGTAAGGACAATTGTCCATCGTAGGCAGTGCCGCACAAAGATTCTGTGTAGCATACCTTTTCCTAAACAGGAGAATTAGTCTCCAGCCTTTGTGAAACTACAATACCCATGACGCTTTGCCTGTAACAACTAGAGCTACCAATGTATAAGCTTGATTTAGGGGCGGCCAAAAAGAGAGAACACCAGCTGTTGCTGACTATAACTAACATGGTGCTTTTTAAAGTAAAATTGTAATTTCAGAGTTTTTTTTCCCACCTAAGGTATGAATACATTGCTTACCACTTGTAAAACATATGTATACTGCATTCAAACCCAAAATGTTAAACACTGTAAAAACACCCAGTAAGCATACACTGTGGGCAACGGCCAAGAACAGAGTCCCAGCCTCACTCCCTCGCTGCTAGACTATAAACGGTGAGCAGGAGAGAGATCAGGAACTGGTTACTTACGTTAATTAGCAGACAGGGATGTGTCGATAGTCATAAAAAGACTGGTTTGTCCAGAATGCTATCTGATTGATCTGCATGTATATCCTGTCACTCAGGATGTAAGAGGGGTGTGTGTATAAAACCGCTTTTAAAGGGTTTCTCCAGCGATCTGAAGTGATCATGGTGCGAGAACCCTGCGTCTCTGGAGAAATCAGATACCGTTAAGCGGGCATTGCCAGAGACTCGGTGCCCAGCGTGACCCAGGCAATAAGATAACTATTGCAAAACACTTTGACATCATAACCACTATAACGGGCTGTGAAGGTTATTATACTTTATATACAGATAATAAACTGTGTGGACAGAATGCCCTAGAAAACAAAGGCCCTGACTGCCCGTTCCTGCGAGCTGTGCTTGGGTGGATTTTGGGAAAGTACATAAGTGATCCAAATTGCTTTATATATTGTATACACACCCTATTATTCCTGGTTTCCATAACTACAAAACACAAATCTAAAAAGAGGATTGTAAAATATCTGAACCTTTCGATCTCAGCAGCTCTAATTGTGTAAAGATGATAGGCGTGCTTTAATTAGAGGATGTAGGTAATCTGATCGCAAACAGACCTGAGCATTGTGTTTATAGCTCTTCCTACAATGCCTTGAAGAAGAGATTTATCAAAGTGTCGCAGACAGTTCTGCATTTGTTTTTGTTTTCTTGATACAATTTTTCAATCTATTTTTTTCAGCGATGCACCAGACTTGCAGCTCCTGCTACAAAAGTGCTCTGTCTCACTTCTCTTTTATCAGACACTAAATTTAGTGGGCTGCTCAGAAATAGATATATCTATTAAAACAATGTCAGAATTTAAGCAGAAAAAGCAGGAACTTTTAAAACAATTTAATAAATACGAAGAGATCAGAAAATAAACGAGAGACGACCTTTCAGAAGACGTCGATAAATCTTCCCCTTCGTTTCCGGACATTTCCACAGAGCTTTCTATTGCAGCTTATAAAGGTTACAGGTAATTTAAAGCAAAACGGAGATAATTAGCGTAATGTCTTGATTAGGCAGTTTTATTGTTATGTAAAATCCAGAGCACCAGAAGCTCGTGAATGTGACCCTTTATGGAGGAGTTTTCCTAGCAAGTAATAAAAACCCACCCTACATACGCTGACTTAAAACTTAAAGGGACACTATAGTCACCAAAACCAGTTTATCTTAATGAAGCAGTGTTGGTGTATAGATCATGCACCTGCAGCCTCACTGCTCAATTCTCTGCCATTTAGGAGCTGAATCACTTTATGCAGACTGTAGTCACACCTCCCTGCATGTGACCAACACAGCCTTCCTAAACACTTCTTGTAAAGAGTCATCTAATGCTTACACTTTCTTTATTGCACATTCTGCACTGTTAATAGATTGCTAGACCGTGTAGTTGTCTCCTGAATGTGATTAAAGTTCAATTTACATAACAGGAGATAAAAACTTCTAAAGTAAGTTTATATCTGATTAAAAATGAAAGCTTTTTTTCCATGCAGGATGTCAGTCACAGCCAGTGGAGGTGTGGCTAGGGCTGCATGGATAAAACAAAAGTGATTTAACTCTTAAATGGCAGAGAACTGAGCAATGAGATTTCAGAGGAATTATATTTACACAAAAACTGCGTAATTAAGCAAAAAAAATTTGGGTGACAATAGTGTCCCTAAAAAACCCCCAAAAACAAACAAACCACACACTGCAAGCACCATAATCACTACAGCCTGCTGGAGTGCCCTGGCACCTTTCCAGAGGAAATAGTCAACAGTCAGAGCTAACAGCAGCAGGGGAGGTGGTGGTGGCACCTGCCAGAGCCCAGTTACGCTATAGATGGTTCTTAAAACTGTTTGACTACTTACCCTGGCAAGGAAAGTCCTGGCACCATAACCACCACATTGGGCTGTAGTGGTTAAGGTGCTTGGAGTGTCCCTTTAATTAAAACACTTACCTAATTGTCTGGCAGCAGTGTTGCAGGTCAAATACATGCCATGTATGTCAGACCATCGGGCTTTAAAAAAGTTCATGGCTTAACGAACATACAAACTGCAAGAATAGTATGTTATAAAAGCCATTTCTCCATTTCCCCAAAGTGAGGGCGAGTCAAACTCCCAAATAAGGTACAGTTGAAGATTGGCTGTATAATGGGTGTTCAGTAAAGAGCACAAAGTTTTCCTGGCTAGGCCTTTTTAAAAAAGTGGACTATTGAACATTTCTCAAAACCTCGATTTGTAAGTATCTGGAGCAGCAAATGTGGTACCTTTCGGTCCAAAAGTCGTTTCTTCCTTAAAGTGGCAGGCTCCAGAACGATGCGACCTCGCAGTGACAGTTCGATCAGAATTCCTCCACGCAGTCCAGACGAGATGCAATCATTCCAGAAGGATGTGTAGCCCTGCACCACAAAACACACAACACATAGAATAAATATAAATATATAAATATTTTTTAAATAAAACGACTCGCATGGTTAATTCGAACATGAAGATAAATCCTTTCCATGGCAGTGCTTTAAAAATAAAACAAAGATTACTTGTCTGTTAAACCCCTCCCACTGCGCTGTTGTAAAGAATAGAACCCCCTGTCACTGTAATCAGGAAAGACTTGTTTAAAAGACACAAGAACAAAACAATTTAAACTGAGCACTTCCCTCTAAGACCATATTTTGAGTGAGTGTCAGCACAGAAATTATCCCCAGAGCGCAGTTTGCATCCTTAGTGAATAGCAGGTGTGGTTCCATTATTGACAGTTTTAGTGCTGTACACAAATGCTTTCACAGGGAACTTTGCCAATCACTCTGCAGATCTTGGAGTTACCTCTGTTTCAGTTTGGCTAAAGATGTTAAAATCACTTTGAACTCCTGACAGTTCACACTAGTTAAAAACCCAACATGCATTCCTCCAGAAGCAGAAACAGTCTCCCTATGATGTGTTAAATTTCAAATGGCTGAGCATAGTACGAGTTGGAATCCATCATTACGTGGAAGGCTGCCTATTTCCATGTACCAAGAAATGATGGAAGTTTCTCTCAAATTTCTGGGTAATTCTAAAGGATGTGTAAAAATACACACATTTTAGTAAATACGTTTTGTAGCAAACCAAGGGAACAGGGAGTGGAGGGGTGGCTTTCACACTTTGTTTGCCAACATTCGGCACAGTCCAACCAGAACCTGGCAAAGCGCTGTCTGACCTACGATCAGTAGTGGCAGTCAGTTGAAGGGTTGAAGAGCTAGAGGTAAGCTAGAACAGAAGACTGTCTCGATCTGTAAATATTGCAGTGTGAATTGTAAAATCGGGAGTGCCAGGCCAGTGCGTCCAGAGACTTGTCCCGGATGTGTTGGTGACAGTGTAAACAGAGGAATATGGCAGCTTGCGTCAGCCTCATGTCAGGATCTGCAGACTAAAAGGTCACAGAAAGTAAAGTACATAGATCTCTCCTACACAGCGTGGACACCCATTATTTAAAGGAGGTTAACAAAAATTGGTAAAATCATGTTTTAATCAGGAACAGCACACACTTTCATAGGGAGTAGGGGTGTGACAGTAATGAATGCTAATGAATTCTGTGATCCAAAGCGTAATATGTTCTCTGGCAGTATGTGGGATTCATATGCTACCAGCCCAGAATAAGTTGGCTAATAACAGAAGCAGTTGCCCACTAGAAGTACGGCAATGTGTGGCCTAGTGCTAGGCAGCTCCATCACACCCAGACCTAAAGCCAGAATTTTTAACCCCGAATCAGGTGATGAAGCCTTTCTAGAGTCAGAATATGGAGGAATTCTTCTAAATACAAGGTTAGGAGTAGCAGGACTTCCTTTTACTTAGGCTACATATAGTTACCAACATATGATGTATTTGTACTGTTTTGTTAAAGGATTTATGATTATTGTAGCTGTTCGCAGGCTCCCCCCCCCCAATCCATCCCATCTTCCAGCTGGCTTCTTTCAATGACCCAGATCTGGCCCTATTCTGGCAGACTGACTGGGCATGGTGTGAGGTTTAGTCTAAATTCTGTTTGTTCGGTTTCATGGCCCCATGTTAATACATGCTGATCCAGTCTGCATATAAAGGCTGTCACACCTGAAACTATGGACAAAAGGCCCACACTGCCAACCCTTTAATAACCTCAATCCAGCAGTCACAGGGTTAATGTCGCCCTAGGTCCTCACACTACCTGCTATTATTGGACACTGCCACACTGGTTGAGCCGGTTTGAGAAGGAGAATAGAGGGATGATTGGGGAGGGTTTGGTCCATAGACCTAGTTAAGGTAATGACTGACAGAACGTCATGGAATGCTCTAATCGTCACTACGCTCCCTAACTATTCCATAGGCAGCAATGACTTAGGGTGATCACATAAATAAATACACAGAAGCACTCTCTCTTTAAGTGGTTTCTAGTCCTGGCAACCGTATGCACTATAAATGCTGGAATGTACCCACAATACACTGAAAACAGGTCACATTAAAAGTCTGACAGATTTCATTAAGGACAGAAATGACTGACAGGTTACCAGTCTATAAGTGCCGACTGGTAAAATATGCCAATCTGCTGGCCCAGAAACTTACAGCCCTGACCATTCTCTCCGCAGGGACTGATGCTACACTTGTTCCATTCTACTGACACCGTTCTGGCTGCACCCACTCACTGTGCGGCCCCTGCGTCCTCTCTGACTATGCCAATGTACATGCAGGACGTTGAGAGTTTGAGGTAGCCGTTTTGCTCTCTGAGATATGGCAGGAAGTGTGACTTACCTTTCCTGGTCACACGTCGATCACAGCTGAATACAGGCTGTATGAAAAAAAACATGGTGGCATTCTTATCCAAATCTCAGTGTAAACACTGTATACATTCCTTTCTCAGTAACTATACACTGTCTTACTCTACATCTGAAAACCTACAGCAAGGCACATACATGGTGACAGAACGCAAGCCCTGATAACCACATAGATTGCAGAGTTCTTATAATCTCACAGCCTTACATTAAGGAAACCAGTTGTTTATGCATGAATTCTGCCTTATCGCTTTCATATTAATTACACACAATGGAGCAATCACGCTATTCTGTTAACCAGCTTTTATTTAGTGTTTACACATCAGGATCACTAAAAACCACTTATATAGACAGAACGTAGTGACAGACCATCATTAACACAGCCAGGACAGTGAGTGTACTGAAATAACAGTGCCCATAAGGCGAGACCGAGTCACGACAACACAGCCATCAAGAAATCATTCAAACAGCCAGGGCAGACATCTCGCAGAGTCCAGCCAGGGCAGACATCTCGCAGAGTCCAGCCAGGGCAGACATCTCGCAGAGTCCAGCCAGGGCAGACATCGCAGAGTCCAGCCAGGGCAGACACAGAGTCCAGCCAGGGCAGACATCTCGCAGAGTCCAGCCAGGGCAGACATCTCGCAGAGTCCAGCCAGGGCAGACATCTCGCAGAGTCCAGCCAGGGCAGACATCTCGCAGAGTCCAGCCAGGGCAGACATCTCGCAGAGTCCAGCCAGGGCAGACATCTCGCAGAGTCCAGCCAGGGCAGACATCTCGCAGAGTCCAGCCAGGACAGACATCTCGCAGAGTCCAGCCAGGACAGACATCTCGCAGAGTCCAGCCAGGACAGACATCTCGCAGAGTCCAGCCAGGACAGACATCTCGCAGAGTCCAGCCAGGTCAGACATCTCGCAGAGTCCAGCCAGGACAGACATCTCGCAGAGTCCAGCCAGGACAGACATCTCGCAGAGTCCAGCCACTTGTGTTCATGTAAGATGGCGCATGCTTAGTGTGCCTTTAGATGGGGGTGATGAATACTGCTATAAGGCAGATGTCAAATTATCGAGAATACTTTACCAATTCCATGGATGATGTCTGCCAGGTTTCTCAAACCTCAGGCTAATGCCGCAACACTGAGGGGTGCTAACAAACACCCTTTATGTGTTACCTGTTTCCTACACATACTGAACCAGGTAACCATTTCTCCATCCTATAGTAAAGTAGGTTTATGCTTTATAGACCAGAACTGTTCATTGACTTCATGCGCGTTGCAGTAAAGGAAAGAGGTGGTTAAATTCCAGCACACATTAACAATGACATAAAAAGGAGTGCCAATACACAAACCATAGATAATATATATAACACGCATTACAGCTCCTGATTACAACGCTGTATTCCAGTGCAGATCTCAATCCACAGCCCAAGGCCGAGCACCAAAAAACTATTATAGAATACTCCAGTGGTTATGGTGATAGGCTTTAGTTGCCATTTCTGAAATAATGAAAAAAAAAAAATGGTGTTGCATGACACCCATTTTTTCTCTTCAATAAGCAATGAGGAATATCACTTTGTTATCAATATAAATATTTAAATGCTGTCCCCATGACCAGAGAGTCGCAGCCTATCACGGCATGGAGTGACCACACACTGGTAGCTTGGTCACGGAGGAAGTGAGAAATCCAGAGCAGGGAGGGGGGATACGGGTGATCCTCCAGGTTTTGCCAAATCACATGAAAATGGTTGGACAAAAATACGAGGGGGTCACACCCATAGCCTAACAGCACAAAATCAAATCAAAAGCCAAAGGCTCTCAAACATTTTCCAGCACGTGTTTAAATGTCCCAGACTGCAATGGCCATCACAACAACAGCCTGCCTTACATAACAGGACTTTCCACGGGGTTTCTCCAGTCTAGTTCTACACTCATAGCGTTACGGATTACCCAGCCAGCAAAAAGCAAGGCTTTCACCATAAGAATGCCCACCCAGCTTCAACCACAACCTGCTGTGAACTTCCCTGACAGTTGTGTGTCTCCCATCACAGATTAAACACGATTCACAAGTAACACTTTGAGGAATCGCGGAGTTCCCTTTATCATGGCAGCTGTTAAAGTGCTATTGATTTTGCAGCGGTGAGTGACTCAGGAATAAAAAAAATAATTAAAATATCTGGGAACTATTACTATGCGCTCTTTATACGGCAACAAATATTATATATATATATACACACACACACACACACACACACACACACATATACATATATACACACATATACACACATATACACACACACACACACTATCTCCTGGTAAGGGATGATATCCATGCCAGGAAGCAGGGGGAAAGCCTGAAATACCTCTATATAAATCCCACTGGGATAACATCACATATTTTACTTCCCGTTTACATATAGGATTAGCTCTTGATTAATTAACAAGAGGACAGCTGTCATTCAGCAAAGCATCCATAAACAATGAATATTGATTATATACACATCTCTTGTGGGGGAAAATAAACGAAATTAAATAAATATTGATTTATCTTTTTTCTAGCTGTCATCTGCTGCTACTTTTGAGATCTACACAGGTTTACATAATCACCATTATTACACAGATATCAATCTTAAAATCATAGTTTGCCCGAATTCTGTAACATATATCGTAACAGGTATAAATGTTCGCATAAAGTGGAATGTGGGATCTACTGGTTCAAAATTTAGGAGTTAGTTGCAAGAATAGATCAGTTTAGCAAGATATGTATAATAAGGGCTGCACTGGAGGCGTTAGTTACTCCAGGATATGAAGGGTGGGATGGAGAGCAGCTGGTTAAACATTAAAAAGACGCACATGCCATACTCACAGCTGTATCCAACAGGATGTACAGGGAGTTAGTGGTGACATTAAAACTTCCTCATTCATTACAAGCAATGGACCAGCAATGCAAGCATTAATTGGGCCTGCGTGCAGAGGTTGACACGGGATCCTGTAATTCTGGGCCACTTGTGTTCCGACACACGGGATATCTCAGGGGAGCAGAGCAGATACAGAGGTACAGGAACACGCGTAACATGGCACCGTCCTGTTTTAAACTGCAAATATTACCAATCCAATGTATCAGCGGAAAGGCAAAAAAAAAACAAAATAGACAATAAATAAATAAATATCAGCTAATGCAATACCAGGGGTGGGAATGCAGAAAAGGTGTGTGTTCAGTCCTCACCCAGCATGCACTCTGACCTGTCCCAGAATGCTTTGTTTTCAGTGCAGATCATGGATGATGCCAGTTGGTACTTTGTGTTGCCCCATGTAGCTGGCCTGCAATGGGATGTAGGCAACACGCGATAGCCATTTGTCCAGCACAACGAACAGAAAAATTTGCAATTTAAAATATGGTTTCTGTCAGGTCATGCACAACAGGAAAGCCCTTAAAGGGTTACACTAACCCCATTTATGATATCTCTCTATTAATGCCCCATTTCCACTGAGTGGTACGGTTCGGTACGGTCTGGAACGCTATTTTGAGTGTTTCCATTATGAAAGTGGCCCATACAACCGAACCAAACTGCACCATTCCTGGGCCCCCTTCAGATGTAGGTCCATGGGAAATGGTACGGGACGGTTAGAGCGGAGCTACTGGCGTCACACTATACAATCCATTAAATTGGCGGCCAGGAAAATGTCAATGCTCACGATAAATGACACGCTAGGCATTTGGTCTAAACCCTGCATGCCCCCCTGACTGTCCCACTTGCAGTGGAAACGCTCGCCTGAATAGGCTGGACCATTCTAACCCTTCTGAACCATACCGCTCAGTGGAAACGAGGCATTAGTTTACAAACCTCCTCCTCCCCACTCCGTAGTATCCTGCAAATAAAGCCTGAATTTACTTGTAATCCAGCACCAAGTGAATATCACCACACTATCTTCTCTAAAGTTACTGCTGCTCGCTTGTGGTCCAATCAAATGCTTCTCATAAATCAGCATCTGATTGGACCGTTCTACTAGCTCAGACCTTACACGGTACACATGTCAGATAGCTTTTTTTTTTGGGTTAAACAGGAGTTTTATTAGTTTATGGAAGTTGCAAAGAGCTGCATGTATAAATGACTTGCACTGTGACAGCTAGCAATTCTAACTCCATTTGTTACACATTAAGTATCCATAGTTACTATCTCTAATAGGTAATCACCATTACTATACAGATATCACACTTACAAAGATAGCACTGTACATATTGAATAACTATATCAGCATTATAGATATAATGACATAGAATGCAGCATGGAATAGGAGGTGAATTAAGCCGTATTCTAAGAGCTAGCCAAAATAATAAGTTACAAGACACAAATTTAGACTGGTTTAGGTGCCAGCCCAAAACGTAGATGCTACATGCAACTTGTGTGCTCTCATGCCACAGGCTACGCAGGTATAGTGGTAGGTGACAAGTGACAGGACTACTTAAACGAGTGTCATGAATAACATAATATCCTGCGGCCCTGTAACCAAGCAGACATGCAAGGTCCTATCGTTACCCCATGTCCTCTAATTAGATACACCAAATAAACACTGCAGAATACATCTCTTCCTGTAGCTGTTCCCCCTCCTTGACTATATCTGGCCGATTGCTTACGGGAGTCTTGATACAATGTGCTGCTGTGCTTGTATGATCGCAGTGCTTAAACATTACACAGGCCCAATGGCAGAACTACCACCGGGACACGCATGCTATGGGGGCCCATACACTTATGGCTACCAGATGGGTATTCCTAAACAGGCCCTTTATACACCCCGATCAGCCCCTTGTAATCGCAAGCGGCTGGGATGAAGTGTCCAGCTACATAGAGAGAGCGCGGCGCGTGGAAGGGAGGAGGCAGTAGTGGTGCACACAGGCAGAGGAAGAGAAGGCAGCAAACGGGCAGAGGAGCAAGAAAAAAAAAAAAAAGAGCAGCTCCAGACCCTACATCGCCATTAACATTAGCCAAGAAAACCATGCTTATACCCAAAAGAGGTGTGTGCGCGCATACATCGGAGGAATCAAACACCAACACAACATGCAAACAGATATTACACACACACACACACACACACACACACGTCAAGCACCAATACTACACACAAATGAACATTTAAAACACATTACATCCAAACATACCCCTGCAATCAAATGCAAACACTACAGACAAATACACCACTGCATTCCATGGGCAACAGTACATACAAACACACACCTACATGCACACACATGCTAACATTCAAACTCACAAACACAACCCTGCAAGGATGGGCAAATGGTAGATCCCCAGCTGGCACAGCATCGTGGGAGTTGTATGACAGATGGGGATCTGCCTTTTTGACATTCTTGCACTAGAGGGAGTCCCCAAAAACTTTCTTACACCAGGACCCTCCCTACAAGAGCCACTGCACAGGCCATCCATGAATAGGAGGGATCCCAGCATGTCGTCTTGTCCAGAAAGAATTAACTTTACAAATATTAACGACATCTCAAAGAACAGTCAGATTTCCATAGCAAACACAAAAAGGACATTTATATTACTGACTTTGGAATAAATATTTACACATTGTAAAATAATTGTATTTTGCTGTATAGTTTAAACTCATTCTACCCATTCATACACACATCCTTCAAACACAGACTGAATTAAAAAAAAAAAAAATAGATTACATATTTCTGGAAACTGTGACAACATTTCTGCTCTAAACTAAAACGTCTGTCAGATTATAAACATAACGTTTTCCAACATTTCGTAGCTTCAACACACAGCCTGGAGCATGTTGGGGGTCTCTATTCTCTTACACTGTGCAGGTGAGAGACTGAACCAGGCAGCGCTCTAGGGGATAATCATACTTAGAAATTCATGATAAAATAAAAAATACATATTCCATGAGTCAACACTCTTATAAAAGATTTAACCCAATAACTAAGATGCCAACACCATGCAGGCTCCAAAACAAATCAATAGGAAAGGACAGACGGGTAAGGACTCTAAGCAAAGTGAAAGGTAGGTACAGACTGGTAGGGATTCTGAGCAGCACGATCCACACGTACAGACAGATGGGATTCTTAGCAAACCTTTTGTCCTTTTTTCTATCTTGGCTCTAAAAGTAGCGTGCATTCTTTGCATTGCTCGGGGATCAGCATTCTACTTAGCAATGCAGAATATCACACTGGGTCTATGGGAGCTTAGCAAGGTGTCCGATGCCAGTCTACAGTTCTGGAACCCTTCATATTTATCAAACAGAGTAAGAGTAGCACCCCTTCCTTAACAGTTCGTTAGGACATTCAAAGAATTGCATGAAATAAGAGAGGATCAATGAAAAATAATTATTTGTTAATGAGAAGGTATTACTAAGTGTATTATGTCTGGATTCCAAATGGAGTGCCAGGGACCCGTGTTACTGCACCAGGACACGGCCTACGCCCCATAAACATCACCTAGAAGGGGAACCCCTGGTTCAGTCCACATTCACACAGCTTTGTTTAAATGGCAGAGACATCCAGAGCTATCCACATTGATAGTACTTGGTTAACATCGATTAAGCTAGATTTCCTCCAAACGGGTTGAGTTAACAGAAGAGATGCCAGATTTATTACCTGCAAACACAATGTACTCCTGATATTACAGTACTCACATTCTCATCCAATAAAATGGGTCAGACTGCTCCGAGTTACAAACATGAAATAAATCATTTAACAATAAGAAAGGTGTGCACAGCCACATAGCAGCAAAAAACAATTAGGACTCACTGTCTGTGCGCGCGCAACACAAAATTAAACCCTCTCTTCCATTAACAAATCAGGCAATATTAACAAAATAACGGTAATTTAAAGAAGATTAGAGCAACAACCAGGGAATAAGTGTCAGATCGAGCATCATCTTAGTGAAAGACATAAATGTGGAGTGAGTACTCCTCTCACAGACATAGTATAATGACCTTAGTGTGTGCTATATATAATATCCTAGTCTGCTGAAGTTTTAATTACTGTATGTTATGCCTTACTGCGTCTGCTGTAAGTACCCGAGGATGTTCTCTGTGAGCAACAAAACAGAATTATATTTAATTAAACATCTACCCTAATTGCCATATCCGCACACATCGTTTAATTCAATCAGCTACGAGATGATTAAGTCATGTGTGACCGGGTTAGTAGAAGTTTCAGGCCGATGTTTATGGCATATCTGGTGTCCTGTAAGCTGTAATTTACATTATTTGTACTTATTAACCAAACCCAGAATAAAATGATACCAAAATGGCGCTATGCTCCAATTCCAAGAATGATCATGTGCGTTCCTCCAGCTAACGTCACAACAAAACTCCCATGACCCTCAGCCAGTATATGGCAAACCCTCCTCAATGCTGTCTGAGCTATCCAGACACTACATATATACAAACATCATACAAAGCTGCAAGACACCCAGACCGTACTAGACGATTGTGGAGTAAGCAGATCCATTAATACCATCATTGCTTTGCAATCCGTCCTGTGCACATTCTATCAGCCAGCATTCTGCAGCTGTGTTTATTTACCCAGCACTTTGTAGGACAGAGGTCCGTGTTGGATATTAACCCTGCAAAAGTCTATTTACCAAGAGCTCCTAAAGTCTATGATTATCAAGCTGTACGTGCACACCTGTACCTTGGAAAGGAATAAGCCAGAGCTATTGTTAAAGGTTGAACCAATGTCTCAGCTGCCCTCAGACTAAAATGCTCACTATCCAACTGCAGGTATATCATCCCTGAGGTGGCATTCAGTTGTGTTTAATAGAATATCAAAGCACATGGAGATATGCATATGTGCACCAATGGCCTGCTTGATAGATTGTATCCAATTACATAAAAACATAGCATATAAAAAGTAAAGTAGATCAGAGAGGTACACCAGGCCAGTCATTAGTTATTGAGAGAATTACATTTTTTAATATGAAGGTAAGCGGTGCCAGGCAGAGAGGGATAAAAACGGGTGCTGTCTATGGATTGGCTAAAAGAATAGGGATGGCAGGCACATGGGAAACCATAAACACTCCTGGCTTTCAGTCTACACCAATTATGCCTTTACCAACTTTTTCTTTGAATCTATAACCCAGTGTTGAAGAGCACAAGACTCATCAGTGGTATCACTCCATGCTGCTGGGCCAATTTCATTACTTCCCCAATTGTCAATTTCACCTCGATAATATCTTTATTTTTTTCACCATGCAAATCCTCTGCTATGTGTCATTATTTTTTACAGGCCGTACAAGGTGCTGCAGGAAGTCTAAACCATAGTACGACGACACCTGGGTGACAGGTAAAGGGACACCAACATCCCAATAGGGTTCATACCCTCAATAGTTAAGGGGAACAAATCAATGTTCAGCCAACAGATGCAGCAATAACCATGTTTTCTCCTTGAAAATGTATCCATAGTTTTACTATAAAAGGATAAGATCAATAAAGAATAAACTTATAGAAAGGTTTCTTATTCCAGTAAACATTTCTTTTCAAACCTTAATGAGTCCATGACCAATAGCCTTCTATTAATTCACCGGATTCAACAAGCGGGTTTCCTATACATTCAATTCAAATATTCTGAAATATGAATTGTAAGTTACAAATAATCCTTCATGCTTTCTCCTTTCCATTGTAAATCACATTATTCCGTGTTAAGTGCTCCTGAGTTAAGAGATCACTTCTGTGATCTATTCTCCCATAATCACCTTCTTTAAACATTACATGGTTACACTGGGGTTTATTCACTAAGCAAAAGTAGGCACTTCAAAAATGAACGGCAAAATTCAAGCAAAAGTAGCCAGGCTGTGACTAGAGCACAGCTGGAGACCATTTCTGAACCAGCACTTTTTCAAGAGAGGCCGTGGGCATTAAACAATTGTTAGTACCCATCCTCCGGTAATCCGCACAGTGATTGGTGCTTCCTGGTGACACTGCTCCCTAATAATACCTGCATGCTGGCTTTACGGACAGCACACCAGTGTCAGAAAGAGGCGACAACAGTCCCTCCATCCCTGCGTTCTCCCAACAGGTGAAAGAAACACTTCATTGGGGAATTTCTGCGACAGAGAGCCAAAAAAACGGTCTATGTAATGGTTCTCCTGCTCTCTACCGTCCATCAGTTTTCGCTACAGGCCTCGATCCCATCGGCACAATGAAGTCTATTTTCAGAGTTGCTCGACATGTGGGGCAGGGGCCAAAATTATAAAGCGTTTGAAATGTAAATTTATACATTTGCTAGCACAATATATAGATGAAATGTTACGTTCTCTAATGGTAACTCGTGTGTTACATTGCAGGTACATTTTATGTGGATTGTTTTATGAACTTTGACAGGTCCGCATACGTTTAGAGTCGTCGGTCACTTCTGAGAATTTCATTTAGGGAATGCTAATGTTAAATGCGTTGGAATATCACAGCAATAAGACAAGGCAGAGATTTCCCACAGGAGTTGCTAAGAGCAAACTTCATGCCATGGACAAGTAGTTCAATGGAAGATCCAATGGTCTCGCATGTGAAAAGCCTCTGGTTTATGCCAGGTGCTGAATAAAGATGGCAATATCAGTAAGGGAGAGCTTCCAATGAGCATATCCATGCATTTTGCTTCTCCCACAGTCCACATCACACAACATGAGCACATCAGCGTCCAGGTCTTTGGAAACTATGCAAACACCCCAAAAGTGACACATCCACTAGCTCTAGGTTTATCTGTTTGTTATGCATAGATTTTATCAAAATCATTAAACCACAAAGAACGGTTTCATATTTAATGATTCATAACAGTAATTACTCAAAACAAAAAAAAAGCCAACAACAACAACAACAACATTTTACCAAAAGACTTAGGAGCAGCCAATCACAAAGAGAGTTATTCACCAAAGTGAGCCTTCAATATGAAAAGTGAACTTCAAATTTAAGGCCAAAATTGCCGATCTGAAAACATTTTCTCAGTCAGTTATGCTTTCCATTCAGCTACTCTGACCTTACGTTGGAAGTTGACTTTGAATTCTCCCTTTAGTGGATACTCCTGTAAATGTGGATGGTATGTACTTACTTCACAGGATTAATACAAGGCACTTAATTACACAGGATTGGACAATGACATGTGACTATTCTGCTGGGAATTTGACCTACCTGGTTTCCGCTTGTTCTTACTGAACACAAATATCTTGGTCCCTATTCACCTCATTTCCTATAGATCAAGTCAAACTCACCCAGCAGCCCTGACAGCTCTAAACATTACTATGAAACCGGTACTTCAAGCGAGCTATGCCATTAACGAAGTTTGGGAACAGATCCTGGACACATATTCAAAATAACGGCTGATTTCAGAAAATCTCCCAGAGTTTAATTCACTTCTTTAATTACATATTACTACCATTTGCCCTCCCTACACAACTTATGCTACTCGCATCTGACAATGCAGGAGGAGGAAATGGTTTATCGACCAATACAAAAATCGCTGCTTAATACCAGAGCACTAGATCGGTCTCTGAAAACCTCTGAAATTGTATTATTTTTCTTCATATTTAGATACCTGTAGTAGGGAAGCATCATATGAACTATAACATCATAATCTAGACTTCTACCTCTCAGAAGATGGGGAAAAAAATGAAATCTTTAAACCGGACACATAATTTACAAGTAACAGAGATGCATAGCAATCTGGCCCCCAACATGCCTAATGTATTAGCCACGGTCATTTATTCACCAAGTAACATTATGGAGACATTCATAAATAAAGTTTCACTTACGTGATTAAATATGATAAGGGTAAAATTACAAACGTCCTTTTAGAAAGACAGAGAGATTGCAGACTCAATGATTATTTAATATTTTATCGAACGCACCTCTTTGTCTTTCAGACCCAGAAGCAAAACTTCCTCCATTAGAGTGAGCCTCATGTCCTTGCAGTCTGACGAGGAGTCGTCGTCATTATCTTTGCCTGAATCGTCAGAGTCCGTCCTCTTCTCCTGGCTCTCCTCCGCCCTTCGTCCACGCCGAATTAAAGTGGTCATCCTAAGGAGCACACGGCATACAAGAAAATGTGTTAGGAAAGGAAGCTTTAGATTGTAAGCTTACGCGCTATCTAGTGAAGTACTCTTCAGGGCCTAGATCTCTGCTCACAGGCAGGGCTCTCTATACCTTTTACATTGCTCTGTTTAAATAAAATAAATCTCTCAAAGAGGCAGCATTTTATAGAAACAAAGCAGACGAAAATGATAGGACCCAACGGGTCATAAAATAGAAAGTCTGTCATTAAGTTCACATTCCTGCAGCAGTAAACCAACAATAAGAAGTGTTGCTACAGGCCTTGACTTCGATGACAGACAAACACAACACGCTATTTCCCTTTGCGGATAACGAGCAGTGTAATATCAGATCACTATCACAATGAGAGAGAGCTCTATAGCTGCAGTGGAACTAGTTCTCCCATGGTGCTTTGCAAACGCCGTCCAGTCTATCAGGTGAATAATCATGAGAAAATGTGTTTAAATGACAGCGTCATAGCTCTTGTTGTTAAACGTGTATTTTCATTTTGTTAATGATAGTACAGCCACATACATCACAGCAATAAAGCTTTAGAATTCTATTGACATCAAATGGTTTACTCATTAAACAGTAAATTCTAAAACAAATTGAAACGACAAAAAAAGAAAAAAAAAAAAAAAAAGTCAGAAAATCTAAATGAATTTGAAATATTAGGCTAAATGAACTAAATTGGAAACTTTTTCTTAGTCAGCTATGTTTTCAAATTGACTATTTTGGCTTAGCTTTTAAAGTGTTTTAAAGTGTTTGTCCTATGTATTCATTGTCTCATACTATTTCAATACACTAATAAAAGTTTTATTTTATCGCGTAACTTCTGTTTCAGGACTATTTTCTGTTCTTATTTCAATTTGACTACCTATACTAAGGCAGCACCAGGACACACAATATCCCCACGGTTTGGCTACACAGTCATGGTTATAGACTTCAAAGTTGTTTTACTAAACCGAATTGTAACAAACTGGAATCTAAATGGCAACATTAAGATCAAAATTAGGGATCGACCGATTATCGGTATTTTCGGCAATATCGGTATCAGCCAATAAAGATACCGATATTGCCGATAATACATACCAGGACCTTCCCAGCAGCTCCCCTGTGTAAGTCTTGCGAGTCCCGCAGCCGTCAGGCCGCAAGATTTACACAGGAGAGCTGAAGGGAGCTGCTGGGAAGGTAAGTAAGTGCTTGCTGGGGGCCCCCTCTGGACCATGCCATGCAACACCAAGGAATGCTATATCCCATCTCCCACACAAAGAAGCGGGGGGGGGTGTCTCACAAAAAAAAAAAAAAAAAAAAAATTTATATATATATATATATATATATATATATATATATATATATATATATATATATATATATATATATATACACACACACACACACACACACACACAGTGTGTGTGTGTGTGTAGTGGATGCAGTGTGTGTGCATAATTTGGGGGGAGGGGGCATTTTTATTTTTAAAATATTTAAGTATTATTATCTATTATATATATATTTATATATATAAATAAAAATTAATAAATAATAAATAAATAATAATAATAATAATAATTTTAAAAATAAAAATGCCCCCTCCCCCCAAATTACGCACACACTGCATCCACTACACACACACACACACACTGCATCCACTACACGTGGCATGTATATTTTGTGCATTTACCTTTAGAAAGAGTTTCTTTTTTTTCAAAATGGTAAATGTACAGAATATCGGAAAGTTATCGGCCTGAAAGTTCACAGATCGGTATCTGCTCTAAAAAAATAAATAAATAAAAATATCGGCCGATCCCTAGTTAAAAATTGATCTAGAACTATTCCTCAACTCCCCTATAGCCACAGATTGCTATTTTACACTGAAGTTTGCAATTTGGATTTTAGTCTCCCTACAAATCAAAATGTGTTACATAAATCAAAATTCTTAGTAAATTTCAAATTGCAGGCAAAACTAAAAGCATAGCCGACTGCAGATTGTTTACCGTTCGCTAGATTGGCCTAAAAATTCTAATCGATTCTGAATTCCCGACCTCTTGCAATTTAACAATAATCCTTTGGGATAAAGGGCAGTGTAATCAAATGACGGATATAAATTACAGAGTTCGCAAGAAATTATATTAAACTCAAATGTCTCAACAAACAAGAAAGTACAAGGTGAAATCAGACACAGCTCAGCCCTGTGTGTTACTAATAATGCCTGGATTATCTGGGTGTGGGGGGTATTTATACCAGGGGTAGTCTATTCGTACATTTCCAGCTGTTGCCAAATTGCAATTCCCATAACGTTTAGCCATCTTTTTTTTTTTATTCTTTATTTTAATGTGCAGAGTCAACACAAATGTCCACATTGCCACTACAGCTTATGTAGGCATACTTAGCAACACATATCAACACAGAAGCGATATATATATTTATTTATATTTATTACACACATATACACACACGGCACAGTTTTATGTATTGTGTAGTTGTGGCGTCAGGCTAGTACTCCTGGCATGTACCTGGTGGAGTCTGTGGGTATGCAGTTTCTGGGTTAGTCTTTGTACATGTGTAGTGTCTTACAGGTCTGTATCGAGACCAGCTATGGAGGCGTAGTTCTGTATATGTGGTGTGAGGTCCGTGGGATCTCCCCGGTGTGACTGTCTGTCTAATCCGCGGTGTGTAAGGATGGACATTGGTGCAGATGGGGTGTGACCTAAGTTGGTGCGTGTCCTCCTTCGGAGGTTCCCCCCGTTACAATGTGTCTACTTTTAACGGTGTCTTAAGTTCGGGCAAGGGGGTGAATCAGGTGCCGGTGCGGTCGGGAGTGCGTCCAGTTGTGTGTGTTTGCGTCCCCCGGTACGGGGTGTAGTGAGCACCGCTGTGAGTGTGTCTCAGGTGAGTGGAGTCAACCTCTGAAAGATCTATACGGATTTATGTTTAACTAGTAAAAAGTCAACCAAAGATATATAGGAGGGGGGGGAACTTGGAAGTAATAATGTATGAGTTCGTACGGGAACGGAGCGGGTTCATCTTGGGCAGGAGGCCTTATTCTGGAGAGTGCAGTGACAGTAGTCTCTGGGGTAATGGTGAGAAACATCCCTACTTTATCATCCCTCAGGGTGTCTTTCGTTGGTGCGGTGGTCGTGTGGATGCCCCTTGATCAAAGTCAGTGACGGCTACCGGATCCAGTCGGGCGAGGTCTGAGCTTTCCCTGCGAGTGGGCGACAGCAGGCCTGCTGTGCGCAGTTGTGAGTCCAGTTCAGGGTAACTTTGGGCTCGGTAAGTTTTATCCTGATGCGTGAAGGCGATCATGTTCGGTGTCCCCCATTTATATTGAATGTTCTTATCCCTGAGATGTTGTAGAAGTGGCTGCATGGCCTTGCACCATCCCATGATGCTTTTAGTTAGGTCTTGGAAGAGGGTGGCTCCCTCGAATGTCAGAGGGGTTTTCCCTTTTGCAGCTGCCAACAATTGGGCTCTGTCTTGCAGTGTCTGAAAGCAGAGTATCAGATCTGTATGTGCTGCGGCCGGCGCAGGCTTAGGCAATCTGAACATACCATCTAGTCGCACTGCTTTCGCTTGTTTGGGCGGCAAGAGATCGGCCAGCAGGCGCCTGACGAAGTGCGGTAGGTCTGTCTGGCCTATGGAATCCGGGTTGCATCTACGTTGGTCTTCCAGAGTGTTTATCCGGTTGTTTTATATACTTTGCTGTGTTTGCACTTCAGTTAGCACTTGTTCTAGGGATTCTATCCTTGCATCTTGGGAGTTAGATGAGGCCTCAAGCTGCAGGACCCTGGTGGTGACCCCCTACACCGCCTCCTTTATACAGGCCATGTCGGCTGCTATGTTGGTCCTGAGCTCCGCCAGCATGCTCTTAAGTATAGAGGCTGTGACAGGTTCCTCTGCAGGGGCATGTAAAGGCTTTGAGTTGGGTTGGGGATCCTTCTCCAGGGTCTATGGAGAGATCATCCGATGAGAATGAGTAGCCGTCTTCTCCCACCATCTTGTCCCACGCAGAGTTTTGTGAGCGTCGGAGAAGTTCCCCGAAGTCGTGGGTAGTAGGGTCTTTATCGGCTCTGGTTTTCTTGTGTTTCCGACCCATGGCTGATCCCCGTGTCGGGTGTGGGCAGTTGAGTCCGGGTGGGTATCGGATATCGCCCCGTAAAACGTTTTTTGCCGTTTGTGGCGAGGAGCTCTTGGTGAGTGCGACCGCTCTGCTCCGCTGCTAGCTCTGCGCACCCCCCCCCCCTGAACTATTCTAAAGCCATACAGATTTACACAGAGGGCCAGGTACAACTTAGGAGCCTTACCTTAAGGCAGTCACAGAAGGTGTAGTATTACAATGACTAGGGATATACCCCCACTGACTTAACTATATACAGATATTGAGAGGAGCACTATAGGGTCAGGAACACAAACATGTATTTCTCACCCTGTAGTGTTAAAACCACCATCTAGCCCCCGTGGCCCTTTCTTGTCTCCCTAAATATAGTAAAATCTTACTTGTATTTAAGCCTGAAGCTGCTGGCTCTACCCCTGTCTGCCTCAGAATAGCAAGCTGCCTGCTGATATCAGAAGTGTTGTTCTGAGCCAATCACAATGCTTACCCATAGGATTGGCTGAGACTGTGAAGGAGGCAGATCAGGGGCAGAGCCAGCACAAGTAAAACACAACCCTGACCAATAGAGATGAATCTCTATGAGGAAAGTTCAGTGTCTGCATGCAGAGGGAGGAGACAATGAATGTTTGGATGCATTTTAGGCAGCAATGACACAGGAAGGATCTCTAACAGCCATCTGAGGAGTGGCCAGTGTAGTTATCACTAGGCTGTAATGTAAAGACTGCATTTTCTCTGAAAAGACAGTGTTTACATCAAAAAGCCTGAAGGTAATGATTCTACACACCAGAACAAATTCAATAAGCTGTAGTTGTTCTGGTGACTCTAGTGTCCCTTTAATAGTATATAGATATAAACACAGTCATTGTAGTTATATTGTTATAGCAACTAGGTGTATATTGTATACTATATAGATTTAGACAAGTGAAAAGCACTGAGGCTCTATATAAACACAGCTATGAT